CTTTGAGTATAAAGTATTTACAATAAATGTGAATCCTGGTTGATGTTAATTATTATGTTAATATCTTAACGGTGTGGGCTATTTGGAATGCTAGGAAGGCGGTGAATTTTGAGCAACAAGAGATAAAAGCGGATGAAATATCTGAAACGATGCAGGTGAATATAATTCTTAGTTGTGGATAAAGGCAGTATTAGATAAGTCTGTTTTCTTTTACGGATTGGTACACACATCCTGTTGAATGTCTAAGATCATGTCAGAATGGATACTCTACCACCATGAAAAGAGAAGGTATAAGGGGATAAAACATGAGGAAGGAGATTAAGTAATTAAAAAAATAGATATAATTTTGTTTTGTAACAGCTTTGGGTATCTTTTATACTTAAATTAGCAAAATACTATTTATTGTCAATAAAAAATTAATATTGTAGATGGCGTTACCAATTAAATGACATGAACCTTTATTCCCCTTAATCCCTATAATAATATAAATAAGTGACAACCTAAGGAAGTTTCTCCATCCCACAAATTAAAGGAAAAATGGCTTCCCCAAGACATCCCGTGCTCCTAATCCTGCTATTAGGGTTCTTCCTCCTAATGGCAAAAAGTGATGCAAGTATTTTCCAACCTCACAGAGTATGGGTCATAATCACTAACAAAATAGGCCCTGGGATCGACCTCACACTTCATTGCAAGTCGAAGGACGATGATCTTGGACAACAGATTCTTGCCAACGACGTTTCTTGGCAATTCACGTTTCGCCCTAATTTGTGGAAGACAACACTGTTCTTCTGTAGTTTTATATGGAATTCTGAACTCCATTACTTCGACATTTTCGTTAGCGGAAGAGATTACAAAGAAGACCAAACACATTTTCATATTATGTGGCAGATACTACCCAATGGCCCTTGCAGATTCAATTATGATAACCAGTTGTTTGATAATTGTTTTCCTTGGAATAAGAACTAATGTAGTCACATAGGATGCCATGGAAAGACGTTGAGATTTTGGGTTCATTTGTCGTTGAGGAAATATACAAGTTACAGAAGCATAGGCCCATTAAATAACTTTCCATATGTAAATAGCAATAAAATACTGGACGTATTTGATTTTTCTTCATCTTTAGTCCAATATGTGCAGGGCTGTCAATGAGTTGAGTACATAGGTAATTGTGTTCGAGTTCTCCTTAAAAATTCGAGTTCAAGTCAAGTTCTAATATTTGTCTAGTTTAAAATAATTGAGTTCATGTTCAAGTTCAAGAGTGTTTAAGTAAGTTCAAGTTTGCTTGCAAGCTCAATTCACTGAGTAGGTTAATTAACTCGAATTCAAGTTTTTTTCTTGTAATTGTGAAATGTTTCAATAACTAATTATTTAATTGTAAAATTTTCTATATTTTTAAAAAATATTGTAGTACTAAAAGTTTAAACATATTAACTCTAGTAACAAAAAAACCATAAATTTTATTTGAATATTTTTATTAATAATTATAACTTAAAACATGTAACTTATTTAAGAACATTCTCCACCTTCTTAAGTTTCTAAATTATTATATATTTCAATTTGATAAATAAATATATAATATAATTTTTAATTCTAAATTAAGTACTTACAAGCTCACGAATAATCATAAAAGGTTGAGCCGAAGCTTTTTTTTTTTTTTTTTTTATCAAATTTGATACTAAACTTGAACTTAACTCATTTAGCAAATGAGTCAAACTTGAGTTGAGCTTAATTGAAATAGCTTACGAGCTAT